GGTGTGTAGGTATCATCCCCATTTGCTTGCTATTTGGCCATCAGATCTGGCCAAATGTTTATCCATCCTGATTTTAAAGCATAGTCCTTGATGTTCGAAGGTCTCCAGTGTTAAAGATTCCCATAGGCCCAGAGGGATCCTGTCCCAGTGCTCCAGAAGAAACTGCCTTCTGCCGAATCAGACCCTTGGCGCATCTCATGTCTATGTCTGCTGACTAGCTGTGGTTCAGGGTAGAAGCCTTTTCTGGCCTGAATTGAAGATATTTAGGATCTAACCGAGGACCTTTCACATGTAAAATATACCTTCTACCAATGAGCGTCAACCCTTCCTACAGCACCCACTACCATTAACCATTTCTAAACATGCAATGGTGTGAGAAATATGTATCGTAGACTGCATATATTGCAGAGTTATGAATTTTGCTGAAAAAAAAAACCAGATCTCTAGTTCAGGGACTTACAGAACAGAATTAACTTCAAGTCTTCTCAGAGCAGCCAAACCCATATTGTCTTGTCAACTGGCACTTACAATCTCAATAACTCACTCTGAGATGTTGGTAAGAGAAAGGATAAAAAGTTTCCACTTACTCACAGTTCTTAGCAGATAAAAAATAGCACACTGTACAGCAGGGATCAGGGAACTTTTTTACCTTTTACCCCCCCAAAAAAATTTATATACGCCGACATTGCCCACTTGATTTGAAAGGAAGGAAATCATACATTATTTGAATTCAAAATCTTATTGCATCTATTTAAAATTACTTTGAAAGCTTCAACTGACTTGAAAACTTCAGGTTTTGGAGAAATAATGTTGCTTCATATTGGACATGAGAGCATCAATATTGGGGCTCTGCTCATCCTCATTACCCCCAGGATTTTCATTTTTACCCCATTTGGGGTAATTTACCCCTGTTCCCTGACCACTGCTGTACAGAAATGACTGTTTACTGGAATAGGCTTGGACAGACTCCTCTGTTTGCTTTGAGCAGATTCCTGCGGACTACATTAACATAACTCACCGCACTATCTGCTAACTGCCAGCAGATTAAAAAGAGAGGGGAACAGGCACTTAAGCAGAGAGGTAGGGCTCTCTTCAAAATCAGAGGCAAGAAAGGAACTATTGATTATTGCTGGACTGGTGGGCAATTAACCCAGCCCAAAAAGGTCCCTCCCAGCCAAACGTACAAAAAGGCAGCATATGAGGTGAAATAACTCCAGCAGCACATAACCCCCTCCCCCCTTATCCTCACTGCTTCCATATTGCAGCAGTTCTGCTGGTAACATGGCAAGTGGGGAGTCCACCCTTTGTTCCCCATCATACCTTCCCTCCCACCAAATTCATAGCATGATTCTGCAGGGAAACAAGGTGTATGCTTCAGGAGGACCTCATCCACTGGCAAAATAGTCTGGACTGCTTGTGTGTTAATGGTGGAAACCTCAGAAGACATATGGTTTGGCATAGCAGCAGCAGCAGGGTGTGATTCTGGATGTGTTCCAGAGACATCCATGCAGCCCCAACCCAGGATATTGTAGGTTGGCTACACACCAACTCATACAATGACCGTTAAGGAAGTTACGTGCTCTTTGTAAGTCATTCCAATTTACAGTCTGTTGGTAGCATTTTAGATCAACCGGAGGTTCTGAACCCTCTTGAAAGTCAGCCCTATTCAGAGTATTCTATAACAATCCGAAGAGAATGTAAGTGAGCCATATATCAGTGTAGGCAAGTCAGACATTCCCATGAATGGATGTAGCTGGTGTAACTTGCACTCCTGGCTGCTGCTTGTGCCTGGCGGTCTGGACTTAGTGGGTATCCAGGCAAGGGCTGGACAAAGAAGATACTCTTTGGGGTCCCAGATAACCAGATCTTCTGTGTTGAAATTGGAGGCTGCAATTTGCAATTTTTGCAGTTTGTGCTACAGGGATCTCATTACAAAAGGACAGTGTACACCTCAAGGAAGCAATAATAGTAACGGTGCTATCCAGTCAATTGTGGTGACCCTTTCCTGGGCTTTCTAGATAGAGATTATTCAGACGTGGTTTCTTGTGCCCTTCTTCTGAGGACATCCTGGGATTATCCCAAGAGCACACAGGCTAGATCTTTGCCCAGGAGGCACAATGGGGGAATCAAGCTTTCCACCTCTGGCTCCACAGTCAGACACCTAATTAACTAAGCTATCCAGACCTACAAGGAAGACGTACCACCATTTTCTTCTTATTTGGTCACACCTCACCTAGAATACTGTGTCCAGTTCTCAGCACCAGTATTTAAGAAGGATACGGACAAGCTGGAACACATTCAGAGGAAGGTGATTAAGGTAGCAAAAGGTCTGGAAATTAACCAAGCCCTATAAAGAACAATTAGGGTGGCTGGATATGTTTAGTCTGGAGAAGATAAGGCAGCTAACTTCAAGTATTTGAAGGTCTATCCCATGGAACGTGGATCAAGTTTGTTTTTCTGTAGTTCCTGTAGTTCTGTGGGTAAGTCTCAAACAAATGGACCCAAATTACGTCTAAACATTGAGGAAGACCTTCTTTGCTATAAGAGCTGTTCCAACACTGGTATGAATGGCGTGAAGAGGTGATGGAGTCTCCTTCATTTGAGGTTTTTCAACAGAGGTTAGGTGCTGTCAGGGATGCTTCAGCTATATATTGGAAGAGGGTTGGACTCTTTATTATGTTGGCGGGTGGTGGTGGTGGTGGGAGGTTCCTTCCATCTCTGTAGTGTTAGGATTCTAATCCTTTGCCCAGACATCTGCTCACCTCCTTCCAGGTGATATGTTCCACATACTGCAGCTTTGCTTGGAAATTGGAAGAAAATAGGTGGGTGGGGAAGGAGGCAATCAAATGGTTAAGGGAAGGAATGAGGAATGTTTGGCCCACAGAGTTGTTGTTGGATGGCCATTCCCATCCACCCCGGCCAGCATATCTTATGGGAAGGCATGATGGGAGTTGTAATCCCTCCCCACTTCCAGATCTCAGCCAGGGCTTATGCTGAAGACAGAACCTCTTAGATATCTTGAGAGATGCCCATCACCAAGTGACATGAGGAAAGAGGGACAGGACTTCAACCATATCCAAATCCTCCTTCTGCACAACTTTGCTTGGGAACTGCTTGTAGGCTTTCTAGAAGCACTGAGGCGTGGAAGAGGAGATGCTGGACTAGATAGGAGAAAGACCTTTCAGCTCTCCAGATGATGAACTGTGACTCCTGTCACACCACATCATTGGCCACGTTATCAAAGGCAGATGAGAATTCAACAGTATATTCACTGTTATAGCTTTCCCAGAAGTGCTCTTTTTATGCTCGGTTGCCAATATCTGGTTCACCTCTAATTCTAGTTGCTACTAAGGAGACAAAAATAGCCGTGATGCAATGGAACAAAATAACCCAGAGAGGTTGCCTGCAGCATCCTAGGAGTGGTGGCCTAAAGCAGGTAAAATTTCTGAGTTCCGAAATGGTAACTCATGCAATTTGCTGGCATTTTGTTTCTGGCAGCAGCCTCCACGGGAAGCTCAGGGGTGGCTAATAAGCTTCCCTGTAAAGAAAACTCTTGCCCATCACCATTAATCTTCTCCTGCTGCATGCAGCCTTGGAAGAACATTTGGCACATGTCACATGCATTCTCTTAGCAAGCCATCTTTCCCAAGACGTGTCCAGTGACCCTACAAGATTCTACATCAATTAGGGTGCCACTACATAAACTTCACACAGCTGAACCTTCCAAGCACAACTTGGGTTAGTTTCTTGCCTCACAAATCCCTCAAGACCCCAGACAACATGGCAATGGGATTAGGAATCCTATAGGCTGCTTCTAAGCAATGCCCACCTTCTAGATCTTGCTACCTCTCACTGTTAGAACCCATGTCCAGCTTGCTTACTTAAGCCTTCCCTGGCCAGTACTAATTAAGACTATTCAGGGTGTTTTTCTTCCACTATTGGTTGTGGACAGGTTTTTTTTTAGTTATCAGAAGGGAATAGTAAACCACCTCTGAGTACTACTTATCAGAAGGGAATAGTAAACCACTTCTGAGTGCCTAGAAAACATTGAAAAGGGTTGCCAGAGATCAGAATTGACTTGATTGCTCATTATCATTTTTTTTAAAAGTGCTTTTATATTGCTTCATGTTGTCTTGCATGTACAATTGAATGTAAACTGCTTTGAGCAATCATGTTGAATATAAGTACAGTATTACAATTAAATTTGTGGTTCTTTAGTTGTTTAGTCATGTCCGACTCTTTGTGACCCCATGGACTAGAGCACACCAGGCCCGTCTTCCACTGCCTCCCGGAGTTTGGTCAAATTCATGTTGGTTGCTTCGATGACACTGTCCAACCATCTTGTTGGACTCATTATTTACAATTAAATAAATAATGCCAAACAGGCTTAGGCAGCAGGACCTCAGAACGTGGCCCATAATGCCCTAAAAATAATACACAAAGGCATCCATAACATGTAACTCCATGGAAAGTGTTCCCTGAATGGAGAAACGTTGGAAACCTCTCCTAATGTTGAAATCAGAGGCAAAATGAGTCCCCGCACTAGAACAATCAGAGATGTTCTGGAATAACAATCTGGAATAACCTACCTCCAGAGATTCACGCTGCACCCTCGCTGGGTACTTTTAAGAACCAACTAAAAACGTGGATGTATAAGCAGGCCTTCTCTTCCAGTTAATTCCTGTCCTCTTTCCTTTTTTTCTCTCTTTATTTGATTTAGTTTGTATTTTTTCCATTGCAAAATCATTTAATTAATTAATTGTTATACATTTTTCTTGAACTTGTTATGTTTTATGTTGTAAGCCGCCTAGAGTGGTCGAAATGACTAGATAGGCGGGGTATAAATACAATAAATAATAATAATAAAATAAATAATAAAATAAATAAATAAATAAAAATTAATAATAAAAATTAATAATACTAATACTAATACTAATACTAATACTACTAATACTAATACTACTACTACTACTAATAATAATAATAATCCAGACACAATGCTGCTTTGAGTGACATATCTTTATTTGAACAACATTCCAACTTTCCCCAGACCCCCCTTCAGCTCTGGCACAAAAAGGTGCATCATCTCAGTTGCCATGGGAGCTATGCTTCCTGGTACACAGGGTGGGGTGAGAGTGGAGGTTTCAACGCTTCAAGACTCTGCTTTCACTGGTTTCCGAAATCACTTTGCCATCCACAGTCTTGGTGGTGTGCACCTTCTGGGTGGTCTGCATGGTACTTTCCAGTAATGCATCTTTCAGGCTGGTGGAAGAGACGAACAAGATGTCAGAGCCATTCTGTAGTATTTGTATTGTGCTCAATCTGAAATAATTCCTGCCCTTTTAACATAGATTCTGTGGCCCTAACCTGAAGCTGGCTCCATTTTAGAGGCAGGGAGGCTAAGACAAGCGATATCCTCAAATCTGTCAAAGCTAGGCCAATATATGAAATTCTAGACTTTCAGGTAGATTATGAATGAGTCCCTAAAGCTCCAGAATAAAATAATGCATGCATTTGGTCTCAGTTGCCTAAGATTGGTCCTGTGACTCCCATCTCTATTTCAGTGAGGAAGCTGAAACCTGAAGACTCTCCACTGAGACTTCATGATACAAGAGATGCTCAGTAAATAGCCTGGATGAACAGAATGCATTGCACATCTTCCAGAATATTCCACACCATTCCTCTTTTTCCAGCCCAGGGTTTTCCTTCCACCTCCACTGTCCCCACAGTAAGTCTGCACTCTATGCCTGACTGAGCCTGCTTAGCCTTCATGGCAGGACCAGGATCTGCCTTCAAATCAAGCTTTTCTTGCCACAAAAACAAGAGACCGGCTTACCTTAGCTCTTCTCCGCCTTCCAGCAGTTGCCTGTAGGTAGCAATCTCTGCCTCCAGCTTGTCTTTGATGTTCAGCAGAGCCTGGTATTCCTCTGCCTGGCGGTGGACATCATTCCGCATCTGCACCAGCTCAGCTTCAGTCCGAAGCAAGAGGCCATTGAGGTGCTCCATCTGGAGGCCGTAGCGAGCCTCCACTTCATGCAAGTTGCCCTCCAGATTCGCTTTCTGCAGGAACACCAGGAGGAGAACTTAGAATCACCCCTGGGTGAAATTCTTGCAGTGATCAAATGGCCATTCCCATCATACTCTAATCTAATTTGGGGGGGGGGAGACACAGAGGGTCTCCTTTGGAAACTAGCTCTCATCCCTCCACAGGGTCCTCAGTGTGTTACCTTCTGTCCTACTCCTTGAAGACCAGAGAAAACAGTCTTATATACCAGGCCATCCTCTCCGTCAAGCCAAATACTGTCTAATCCAGACTCTCAGAACTCTCCAGAGGATTTGGACTACATATTCCGTCACCCTTAACAGCACAGTGAATGGCTGCAGACAGTGGGAGTTGTGGTCCATCTTGGCTGGAAGGCTCTAGTCTGGGTGAAATGGCACCCACAGGCTCTCGGGGAGAGAATCTTTTCCCATCACTTGGGATTTGTTCCTTTTATCTGGAGAAGCCCAGAGATGGATCCTCCAAACCTGCACACAAAGCCCATGCTCTCCTGGTTCCTTCCTCTTCCCTAAAACACCAGAGATTGTGTATCCTAATATAATAGTTTTTTTTAAAAAAATCAGATGTATGCTTCAAATGGAAGGATACTTTTCCAGCATCATTCCTATCAACCCTTTCTTAGAATACTGCTTCAAGGTGACCCTGCAGATCAGCTTCCACTTAGCTCCTTCTCAAAGATCTATTGTTATGAATGCTTAGGATTTCTTTCTCTTTTCAAGAAAAGCCTTTAGGCAGCCATGGGAAATCTGCACCTCCTCCCAAGTTGCTGGACTACAACTCCCATTATTCTTAGTCCCTGGCCACGTTGGCTGACTCAATGGGAGTTGGGAGTCCAACATCTCTTGAAGGACCACAGGCGCTCGCTCCCTTTTCAAAGTATCGCAAAACGCTTTCCCTTCCTTTCACAGAGGCTGCAATCCTGGACACGTATACCTGAGAGCAAATCCCACTAAACTTAGTCAGGGTTTGTACTAAATAAAGCCCTGTCGGAGTGCAAGGGAACCCTTCCTGTCTCTAGGCAAGGACTCTTGACAGCTACACAGAATGACTGCCAAGATGACTTTCTATTAGACAGAGAGTTAACTCTCCCTCCCCCCCCCACACACTCCTCATTTGGATCCATACCAGGTTGCGCAAGGACTCTAGCTCAATTTCCAGTGTCTGAACAGTGCGGTGCAAGTCAGTGACGGTGCCCCGGGCCGTCTCAATCTCCTTCGTGTTCTGGGTGATCATGACCGTGCTTTCAGTGATCTAAGGGAAAAGGAAGGAAAACAGAGAGTTGAAACAGTTACTTCTTCAGAACTTTACCCTTTAATGATTACATGTTTCATCCTGACAAATGAAAAACAGTAAGCTGTGCAGGTTGGACTGGGATTTAGGAGAACCAGGACTGAGTCCTGTAAAATGAACTATAAAATGACTGAGCAACCCTGGTCCACATCCTCTCTTAGCCCGACCCAGGGTATTTCTGTGAGCATAAAGTGAGGAAGAAGAGGGGCATTGGAGGAAATGCAGGATCTACATGTCACTAACACAAATAAATATAAATTGTAGGGTGCAGGCGTGCTGAAAGACAGCATTCACTTATTTTAGGAGCAACACATGAAACCTCTTCTGCTCACCTGCTGGCTCCAGTACTTGTCCAGATCTTCAAGATTCTTCTGAGCCAGAGTGTCATACTGGGCCCGGATCTCAGCCATGATTTTGGACAGATCCTGTGTCTTGGGAGCATCTACTTCAACCGTCAGTCCGGACTTGGCAATCTGGGCCTGCAAGCTATTGACTTCCTAAAAGGAGAAAAGGCAACAGATGGAGACACAACATGAGCCAACACTGACTATGTAGATGTTGAGAAGGTTCCTCAAAGGGCAAAGCTTTTTTTTAACACTGTTCATGACAGGACTCGAGCCCTTTTATTGCATCAAAGGACTGTTCCAACAGCCCTCATACTCAGCGCTAGCAGAACTCACATCTTCGTGGTTCTTCTTCATAAACAGCAGTTCTTCCTTGAGGGCCTCAATCTCACTCTCGAGCTGCAGGCGAGTCATGTTGGTGTCATCAATGACCTTGCGGAGGCCATTGATGTCATTCTCCACTGATTGGCGGATGGCCAGTTCAGCCTCAAATCTAGAAGTCAGAAAAGGAGGGATGAACCTTCACAACCAGCAGTTTATAACACAGATTGTATTCCCTTTATGTCACTGTGTGTTAGGTTGGTGATGATGGGTTCTGGAGAGAAGGAGGTGGGACTCGGCTTATGTTGTGATCTTATGCCAGTTCAGAAAATGTGCAGCTGGTTGCAACATAGCTTCTTCCAAGAAGATATTTTTAAAATCAGAAAATAGGTCACTAGCCCTCATGACTGCACACATAGGATTGTCATTCTGCCCATCCTGGAATCCTAGAAGCCGGGCGGGGGGGCTAATTAAAACCCCTATTCAGCATATTTGATCAACCTGCTTCATTTACACCACTTGGAGGCTTCAGTGTTTCATGGGCCAGAATTTGGACTTCTATTTCATTTTAGCTTTCTGGATAAAAAATAATAGGTGTAACGAGAGACTTTTAAAAGACGTTCCCCAGGCAGGTCCCAGTGCCTGCTAAGTCAAAGAAGAAGAAAATCTACTCACTTGACACGGAAATCATCAGCGGCCAGCCGAGCATTATCAATCTGCAGCACAATGCGAGAGTTGTCCACAGTCTGGTCGAAGATCTAAGGACACAGAAAGAAGTGCAAGACACAGGCATGAGCACAGTGTTAAAGAAGCATACGAGACCTCAGAAAGGTTGCCAACTGACTACAGAAAAGTGTCACTGCCTTTGCAGTGCTTCTTTAAAAGCAGCTTGATCTGAAGGTTATTTTTCTCTAACCACGGGGAGAAAGATCACCTACTAACGTCTGCCAACCAAGATGCAGTTAGAGGTAGAAGTGCAGGGACTGATATGACATTGGCAACCTTCACCTTTACACCAGTTGATCATGAACTGTGTTAGATTACCCCTATGAAGGTGCCGACCACAGGTTCTTCTAATTACTTTCCCAGCCTTCTGCAGCTCAACACAACTGCCTAACTTCCTCTTTGTTCCTTGAAGAGGGCCAGCAGCACCTGAACCTATTGGTTTCCAGCCAGCCTACACAGCTCCCATTGTTTGCCTAAGCCATTACAGGTGCAATTCACCTCTCCTGTTCCCAAAGCAACAGGGAGGCCTGGGGGCTAAGACTCTTAAAGAGACACCACTTGCTTCAGCAAAGCAGGTTGGTGTGTTGCTGCCCTGCCACCATCATCACTTTCATTAAGAGAGTGGCCATACAAAAAGAGAGGGCAGGTTGCCTTACACCTGTAACAGGGGCGTCAAAGAGAGAATTTAATAAGGTGGAGTTTGGCACAGAAGTAACTGTGGCTGAAATTTCCTCTTCATAATATTATTAAAGAGGCAGGAACCCTATCTTCTTTTCCACTTGCCTTCTTTGTTCTTAAGTATTATATTCTTTTCACCCTTGGCCAATCAAACAAGTAACTGGCATCTAGGATGTTTTAAGATCCAAAAAATTAAGGAATGTGCAGCCTTCCAGATACGGTGCAATGAATACCAAAGAATCAAGAGAGTTCTCATCTGGCATTTGAGGCCCCATGTTCCTCATATTTAAAAAAAATATGTTTACCCCACTTTTCTCCTTAAGAAGAACCCAAGACAGCTTACATCATTAAAAGACAATATTTAAAGCTAACAAGAAAAGGATCAAAGGATTTTACCACAGTAAAAGACAGTAAACAAAAACAACATAAAATCACATTGAAAGCAGTGACATACATTCATCCTTCTAAAAAACCCCACACTGGCAGCCAGTCATTAAGGGAAAGCTTGCCTGAAGAGAAAGGTCAGCATTCCTGGGGCACAGGAGAGATCACTTAAGATCATCATGTGTTTTCTGACAGCTGCCCCCACGTCTACCTCTACCACAAGGTACGGGTGCCGTAGGGTAGAAGAATGTATGCTTTTATGACTGGGAATTTGAGTGGGGCTTTTATTGGAGAAGTGGTTCCCAACAGTGGGTCCCCAGATCTTCTTGGATTAAAGTTTCTGGAAACCTTCATCATGAGCTGAGCAGGCCAGGATTTCTGGGACAACCTTCATCACGAGCTGAGCAGGCCAGGATTTCTGGGACAGCACCACCTGGGGACCCAAGGTTGAGAACCACTGACTAAAGAGCCTTTGGCTTTTCAGTGTTTTAGCCTATTAACTCCCAGGACTGTTTACCACTTGTAGTGCTTAGTAGGGAATAATGGGATTTGTAGGACAAAACATCTATATGTTCAAAGACTGCCCATCCCCACCCTCATTACAAAACATCTATAGGTTCAAAGACTGCCCATCCCCACCCTCATTTTTCTTCATTTAAGTAGTACAATTTTGGGGTGGGCGGGAGACATTATTCTAATTTGTTGGGAGCAAGACATCCTTGTCCACAACTATCAACTCCAGATCTACTTTCTGCCTCGTCCCACTCCCAAGTTTAAGGCACAGAAAGAACCTGCTGCTGGCCTTTCTTCACTGGCTCTCTATTAGAATCCTCTCTCTTCTTTTCCAAACTCCTCCTCTCTGTCAGGAGAATAAAAGTGTGTGTGGGAAGGGCACCATTGCTTCCCCTTACGGGACATCCCTGTCCATTAAATAAGGCTTTTGTTTCTTGCAGGAACAGATAACAGGAAGCTGTGGTGAAGAGATGTTCCCTGGAGTATTTATTAGGTGTGTTCATTGTGCTCCAGGCAACCACACCTCACAGTGGACCTGTGGGGGCAGCTGCCAGGAAACACATTATGGCATTAAGTGACATATTTTGGGCCCCACAAATGCTAATGCAGGCCCTACCTGGCTTAAAACAAATCTGGGTTAACTCAACAATTATTTGAGGGGTGGTATAGTGTGCCTGAAATTGCTTCTCTCTCTCTCAGCCAAACATAGTACAGGTACACAAATTCTCAGGACATTTTCATGGTGTTCTTTCCAGCTTCACCAGGTGTGACCACACCCTCTAAACATCCCTCCTTTCCCTTTTGTCCCATACACCTGTCTTTTCCAGGTGCTACAGCCGTTTTTTTCCCAGCCATTATCTTTGTGTGTGCCTTTTGTTTGCAAAAATCGATTATCTCTGCCAAACATAGTACAGGTACACAAATTATCAGGACATTTTCATGGTGTTCTTTCCAGCTTCACCAGGTGTGACCACACCCTCTAAACATCCCTCCTTTCCCTTTTGTCCCATACACCTGTCTTTTCCAGGTGCTACAGCCGTTTTTTTTCCCCAGCCATTATCTTTGTGTGTGCCTTTTGTTTGCAAATCGATTACCTATGAGTCATGAGAACAAACTTCCCATAATCTACCTGCCCTCCTGGCAAGAATGGCCCTTTCAACCCTATTAGTAAGCCACCATTTAGGATCTTCTAGAGCAGGGCAGGGTTTTCCCTTTGCGAGACTTCCAATGGCCTCTAACCTTTGGAAAATAAGTCTAACCTATCATTGCGTGTCCACTGTGAACCTTCTGCCAGAGTCACACCACCACCTAAGGCACAGGAGTCTGTTATGAAGTAAACGGTAATCCCTCTGACTGGCACCTAGACTTAATTTCAGGTAAACACTTTCCTGAGAATAACTGCACCCTAGCCAGGTTTGGCTAACCAGGCCTTTGACTCTGGGTGTCCAAATTTAGGAAGTGCAAAGATTTTTGTTCTTGTTGTTGAATGCTCACAGACTGCCTGTTGGTATTTAGTACTGGAAGAGTGTGAACCCATTAGCCCTGGGCACATATATTGCCCCCAGCAGCTCGCAAGGGAAAAAAGAAAAAGAAAACCAGCTAGTTTAGTGTGGAACCAAAATGGCTACTGCACATTCAGATGTTCCTCTCCATTCCTCCACTCTCCATGCATGTGCCAATTTCACATGACTCAAGTCTATATAACAGGCCAATAAAAGCACCCAAGCGCTCCCTCCCTCCCTCTGTCTGTGTGTATTCTCTACCAGGGCTCAGAAGGACACTAGGGTCTGGGGTATTGTGGGAAAGTTTATAAGAATGATTAGATCCAGCGACTTTGCAAAGTTCAGACTGCTGGGCCAGCAAAATGGAAGGAGGGGAAAGCATGAGCAGTTTGTCCTGCTCAGAGTTTTAAAATATTACATTTTGGGACTACAACTCCCATTAAAAAGAAAGGAAGGGCAAAAAATTAAATTAAAAGGAAGGAAGAAACTTTTCAGACTCTGCTCCTGCCAGGGTGGTAAAGTCCTAGCAGCCACCAGGGATATATGGCATGGATGCTGGCCACGCCTTAGCTCGTGAATCCATTTTCACTGTTAAGTACTATCAAGGGTCAATTCATACAATACTTCTAGAGTGCTTTTCTTTTCAGCAAGAGCAAAAGGAGGAACCAAAATTCAAGTCAGAAGTTCAGAATGAGTGTGATAGTCTTTCTTTCTCCATCTAATATGTCACAGTATAGACAACAAGACTGGAAAACTGTGCTCCTCCACATTTAGTTGTGAACTCCCAGCTCCCATCACCCCTCGCCACCCTGGCCAAGGGTGAGACATGGCAATCTACAAGGCTTCTTCCTCACCCTGCTGTACTCTATGGAGAACTTCCTTGTCATTTGGTATAGCCAGTGTTTTTTTAAATGACCTAAATAAAATTAACCTATATAATAACAGTGAAATGTAATTGATTTGTACAATTAGTAAAATATGAAGGTGTGCATGAGAGAGTCCTTAAAGTGTTAAGGATTTGAAGGATCTGGGCTCAAGTCCCTAGTCCTTATGAAATTCACTGGGTGATTTTGGCTCAGTCACTTTCTCCCCCTGAAGGTAGTTGTTGCAAGGCTAATGTGGGAGAAGGTGAGCCTTAAACACTACCTGGATCTCAGTGGCACAAAGGTGGAATACAAATAGCAACCCAAACCAGGCCCCTTTTGTGGTTGCCCTCCCCCACCCTTGGCAAGGCAACTGTACCTTTAACTATTGCACATCTCTGCAAGGGGAGTTCCTGCTCTACTCTTCTGAGCGTTGCTCACAAGGTCAAAACATGCTTTTTCAATGAAGAATGTCTGTGTCTATTGAAAAAGTTTAGTTAAAGGTATAGGGAGGGTGAGTCCCCATAAATTGGATTACAAAATTGGGTTTCCAAGCATGAATTCTAGGGAGAGGTGAGATCTTGAAGACATCTCATTTCAGGTAAGTGTGTCTCACAACTGCAGTTTTGCATATTCCATGCTGTGACAAAGATCAGTCCTCCATTTGTTGGAAATCATTAACCTATATACAGTACTCAAACGTTGAACCCTGGATTGTCCAGAAAGTCAGTTAGGAAAACCTACGCTGGAATCACGGAATGGCTTAAGGCAGATTTACCTTTTTGCAATGGGTTGCTTGTTAATTTTCTTGCACCCTGGCAGAGTTCCTCTCTAGACATTCATCAGAGAAAGCTTCCCCCCCCCCCCATTATGGGAAAAGTCTTCACCTGCTGAGCCACAGCTTACTGGGTGGCCACTAAAACATTAAGCAGGATTTTTAAAAGGCAGCAGTGGTGGTAACTTTAAAGGTGAAATATTTTATTTATTTTATTTTATTTATATCCTGCCTATCTGGTCGGGTCAGGACCAGGGAATGGCCTCTGTGTGAGTCGTTTTACAGACGCAGAGGTAGGAACTCCTTTTCTATGAGTAATTTCTCAAATTAAAGGTAGTGGAACTCAAGCCTCCAAGGTGTCATGCGCTATGTGCTTGGGATGTTAAATGCCAAGGAAATGCCTGCAGGAACCAGTTAAATCACTATGTGGTTAGAACACATCCCTTGCCCAAAGGCATCATAATTGTCTGTATTACGATAAAGAGTTTCTAGGCATTTTGGAGGCACTGTGGATGGGTTTCGGAGCTAAGCCATATGAACATTTCCCTTACACATCCTTTACCGTTCTTTTCTCACAAACAATCTTGTTTTGTTCCAAGTGCACTGGGTGCAAACACGTGAGAGTGAGGTCCACATGAGACAGAGCCAAGCTTCTTGTTGAATTAATGGAAGAAAAACCATTCAGTGGGTTCTCTCCTATTTGAACATGAGAGTCTGCATAATAAACCTGTTATCTCCATGGAGGGAAGCCAAAGAGTAGTAGTCAAGCCAGAGCAAAAGGGTGAGGGTCTTCAGTACATATGCAGTTTAAGTAATCTCCTTTCTACCATCATTTCCTGCCCTGTTTGTTTTATTTAGTACCCCACTTAATTTTTCTAAAAGTCCTTTTGTTTTTTTCTTTTTCTTTCGCCATCCAAAAAGGAGAGATAGTGGCTACTTTTAATGACTATTTCAGTTCACACAATGAACTGTTGTGACTTCTAACAATTCTAAACTTCTCTGGAATTTCCGATGAAGGCCAATGCAGTCTACACATCTCTTGAGAAGGGGATTGGGATACATAACCTGGACACTCCCTTTCCCATCATCTACTGGCCATCTTGGCAAAGGCTGATGGGAAACGGGAGTCTGAGGATCAGGAAAAAATCTTGGGTTCTCCACCCTGACTGCCTACCTACCTAACTCTAGGAACATATTTGAGATGAAGGGCGCCGATTCTAAAGTTGGGAACATAAATACAGGGCTGTGTTGCTCTCAGCCTAGATGGGCCATCCAGGGCACCCGCTCCCTGCAGTGTAGGTGCAACCCCCACCCCGCAGGCTTTTCCTCACCTGATTCTTCAGGTCTTCAATGAGGTCAAAGTAGTGGCTCCAGTTGCGGGCGATGGGCCCTTTCTTCTCCATGTGCTCTCGGATCTGGATCTCCAGCTTGCGGTTGTCGGCCTCCAGGCTGCGCACCTTTTCCAGGTAGCTGGCCAGGCGGTCGTTGAGATCCTGCATGGTCTCCTTCTCGTTCTGGACCACCCCAGAGCCGGAGACGGAGAAGCTGCT